TGCACCAAAGTCCCTATATATCCTTCGATTTGCACGAAATTTGGCACAACGTACTGAATTGAGCCTACACTGATGTCTGCCAAGTTTCGTGAAAATCGGTAGAGATTTGGATATAGCTCCCATATATATTTTCGTCCGACTTAAGGTAAATGGTGCACTAATGTCCCTATATATCCTTCGATTTGCACGAAATTTGGCATAACGTACTGAATTGAGCCTAGAGTGATGTCTGTCAAGTTTCGTGAAAATCGGTTCAGATTTAGATATAGCTCCCATATATAGTTTCGTCCGATTTCATGTAAATGGTGCACCAAAGTCCCTATATATCCTTCGATTTGCACGAAATTTGGCATAACATACTGAATTGAGCTTAGAGTAATCTCTGCCAAGTTTCGTGAAAATCGGTTCAGATTTAGATATAGCTCGCATATATATTTTCGTCCGATTTAAGGTAAATGGTGCACGAAAGTACCTATACATCTGTCGATTTGCACGAAATTTGGCATAACGTACTGAATTGAGCCTAGAGTGATGTCTGCCAATTTTCGTGAAAATCGGTTAAGATTTAGATATAGCTCCTATATATAGTTTCGTCCGATTTCATGTAAATGGTGCACCAAAGTCCCTATATATCTTTCGATTTGCACGAAATTTGGGATAACGTACTGAATTGAGCCTTAAGTGATGTCTGCCAAGTTTCGTGAAAATCGGTTCAGATTTAGATATAGCTCCCATATATAGTTTCGTCCGATTTCATGTAAATGGTGCACCAAAATCCCTATATATCTTTCGATTTGCACGAAATTTGGCATAACATACTGAATTAGGCCTAGAGTGATGTCTGCCAAGTTTCGTGAAAATCGGTTCAGATTTAGATATAGCTCCCACATATAGTTTCGTCCGATTTCATGTAAATGGTGTCTACCTCGAAACTTGGAACCATATTAATAATTTTTGGTCGGAAGATTTGACACCCAATGAGAACCCTCAATATACAAAGACAGGCAATTCGGTTGAAAACCATTATCGAACTCCTTCTAAAAATTTCGAAAAAAATTTTCAAGGAAATCGTTTTATGGGGACTACCCCGAAAAGGGGATCAATATCGATCATTTTTCATAGAACGAAAATTGGATTTCAGATTTCTAAAATATGTTTATTTATTTTAAAAATAATAATTCATTTTTCTTTGTAGCAAGTTTATCATTATCGTCCCTTTGAAATCGATACAGTTTACAATTTCCAGGTGAATATGGAGGGTCATCATAAACTTGTCGGTCATTATAAAGCCTATGATGAAAATAATGTACTACGTCCGACAATTATATGTTATACAATTTATGGTCAGTTTTATAGAATTAAATAAAAATTGGTATGTAAGGTGTTACCGAGGAAATGTATATAAAAAAAATTCTAAAAAAATATTTCGATGAGGAGCATTTTTACAAAAGGTAGGAATTTTGAAAATTTGCATATTAAGCGAATCAAGAATTCTATATCAGATGATTCCAAAAAAAACGTTATCTATACGTGAGCTGACACGTGGAGTCGATTTACAAATGTTCGTCCGTCCGTTTGCCTGTCTGGCGCACGATAACTCTCGAAGGAAGTAACCAATTACATCCAAACTTTGCACATCGTAATATATCTACCAAACTTAGTAGAAGTTCGAAGATGAGGACGATCCTTCTTCTTACTATAGGAGATCTGCAGGTCTTCTTCTTCCTGTGGGAGAGCTGCATGTTTTCTTCTTCCTGTGGAAGAGTTAAAGGTAGTCTTCTTCCTATAGGAGAGTTGCTGGTCTTCTCATTTCTGTGGAAGAGCTGCAGGTATTCTTCTTCCTGTGGAATCTGGAGGAATTCTTCTTCCTGTGAAAGATCTGAAGGTTTTCTTCTTACCGTGGAAGAGCTGCAGGCATGGATGAGCTAGATGTATTATTCTTCCTATATTAGAGCTGGAGGTAATCTTCTTCATGTGGAAGAGCTGCAATCGCAATGACCTCCATCGCAATGACCTCCAGTTGTCAAAAGACCCACCTTCGGAAGTCATCTCAAAGGTCATGTACCTTCAGAAGGCATATCAAGTTCAAACCTGTTTAACGTCCTGAGGAGACCTTTTTATACCCTTCACCACACTGTGGTACACGGTATTATGCCTTTGTGCATATGTTTGTAACAGGCAAAAGGAAACGAGATAGACCCATGGTTCCTTTTGAGAATATGCATAGAATCACTTTCTGTGTCGATTTATGCATGTCCGTCTGTCCGTCTGTTGATGTTAAATTGTAAACAAAGTACAGGTCGCATTTATGATCCGATTTGGATGAAATTTGGCATAGGTCACTTATTTGGCCCAAGGACGAACTCTATTGAAATTGGGACAAATCGGTTCAGATTTAGATATAGCTCCCATATATATTTTCGTCCGATTTAATGTAAACGGTCCCTATATATCTTTCGATTTGCACGAAATTTGCCACAGCGTAATGAATTAGGTCTAGAATGACGTGTGTTAAGTTTCCTGAAAATCGGTTAAGATTTAGATATAGTTCCCATACATAGTTTCACCCGATTTTAGGTAAATTTTGCACCAAAGTCCCTGAAAATGATTCGATTTGCACGAATTTTGGCATAGCGTATTGAATTAAGTCTAGAATATCTTGTGCCAAGTTTCAAGAAAATCGGTTCAGATTTAGATATAGCTCCCATATATAGTTTCGCCCGATTTTGGGTAAATGGTGTACCAAAGTCCCTACATATCTTTCGATTTGCACGAAATTTGGTATAGCCTACTGAATTAGGTCTAGAATGATGTATGCCAAGTTTCGTGAAAATCGGTTCAGATTTAGATATAGCTCCCATATATAGTTTCGCCCGATTTTGGGTAAATGGTGTACCAAAGTCCCTATATATCTTTCGATTTGCACGAAATTTGGTATTGCCTACTGAATTAGATCTAGAATAACGTGTGCTAAGTTTCGTGAAAATCGGTTCATATTTAGATATAGCTTACATATATAGTTGCGGCCGATTTTAGGTAAATGGTGCACCAAAGTCCCTGAAAATGATTCGATTTGCACGAATTTTGGCATAGCGTATTGAATTAAGTCTAGCATGACTTGTGCCAAGTTTCGTGAAAATCGGTTCAGATTTAGATATAGCTCCTATATATAGTATCGCCCGATTTTGGGTAAATGGTGTACCAAAGTCCCTACATATCTTTAGATTTGCACGAAATTTGTTATAGCCTACTGAATTAGATCTAGAATGACGTGTGCTAAGTTTCGTGAAAATCTGTTCAGATTTTGATATAGCGCCCATATGTAGGTTCGTCCGTTTTAAGGTAAATGGTGTACCAAAGTCCCTATATATCTTTCGATTTGCACGAAATTTGGTATTGCCTACTGAATTAGATCTAGAATGACGTGTGCTAAAATTTCGTGAAAATCGGTTCATATTTAGATATAGCTTCCATATATAGTTTCGCCCGATTTTAGGTAAATGGTGCACCAAAGTCCCTGCAAATCTTTTGATAAGCAAGAATATTGGCATAGCATACTAAATTAAGTCTATAATGATTGTACACTAAAGATCCATACCATAGTTCGATTAACTATGGTATGGATCTCTGGCAGGTTTGCTTGAAATCGGTTCAGATATAGATATAACTTAGCTTCCATATGTAATTTCGACTTATTTATGTTAATTGTACGCCAAATATTCAATGGGTGTCTGATTGAGATTAAATTTTAAACAGTACGGCGACGTCTTTTCGGATACATATGTAAAATATACCCACAGTGGTGAAGGATATCATATAGTCGGAATACATTTGAAAGTCCAAACGATTCTGAACTACCTTTTTTCTACAACAGACTTTTCTAAGGCCTTCAGTTTTCTGCTGAATCCTCAAACAACTTCAGACATCCTCTCAAAAAAATTGTATCTTCAGAAGATCTATTTGAAGTTTTCAAAATTTCTTATTCCTTCAGAGCCCCTTTTTAAAAATTCGAGCTGTAGAAATACATTCTGCTCAAAAAAGGCATTTCAAAAACTTATCATAAGACTTCTGCCTTCAAAAGACCTCTCAGAGATCTTCAAAAGACCACGTAGTTTTAGAAAACCTCTGCAAAATCCTAAAAAAGGTTTTTCATTCGTAAAAAATCGATTTGAAAAGTCCATAAATAGAGGGGTATCTTCATTCTAGAAGACTTTTCAATGGTCCACTTTTTTTAGAATACCACACAAAGGCATTCTGCCTTTGCCTACCTCTCAAATACCTACCTTCTACCTTCACTTCCCATATACTAAATTTTGTCTTCTGAAGCCTTTCCTAGGTTGTGGGTCTTCGGCTCTAACAAATTTTCCTTTGGAAGACCTCTCCAAGATTCTAAATAAAAATGTGGTACATCCACTGAAAACGATTCTATATTTTCTTTCAAAATACCTTTCCAAAACCTTCTGTCCTCACCTGATCCCTTTTAAATCTTCATGTTTATGAAGGTGAGTGTCTTAATCTCAACACTCTCTAGGAAAAAATTTGGAAAATAATCCTCAAAACCAAAAAAAAATCAAAACACAATTTCCCTACTTTCAAAATTAAAAATTCTCACCCAAACGCCCCGCATAGCCTAGGTTCGACAACACCCTATGAGGAAGCGATTCGCTGTCATGGCTATAACTAGAAACATTCTACGCCATGATGTTTACCATACGATAAGCATGGAAGCATTTAAATATATCAGTGGGTGGTGCTGGTGGCCGTGGCCCACCCAAGCCGAAATCGGGTCAAGATTATGTTGTTCGACAAACATTGCAAGGTGTTAGAATTTATTTTTCTTGGCTGGCACCCCTTGGTGTTAGAATGTCGCAACATTAGAAATGTTCTAGGCATGGAGTTGGTGTATAAAAGGTACCTTCTGGTGGTTTGGAAATCAGTGCAAACACAAGCTTCATTGAATTAGCAAATCCGAATTCGTTTTCTTCTTCTGAAAAAAAAAAATGTTTCTGTTTTTAATTTTTGCTGCCCTGGTGGGTCATATCTCCGGTGCCAGTCGGATAATTGGTGGCCAATTTGCCACTCCGGGACAATTTCCCCATCAAGTATCCTTGCAGCTGAATGGACGTCATCACTGCGGAGGTTCTATTATTTCGGAAACCTTCATTGTCACCGCGGCCCATTGTACGGTCAATCAAAACCCTGCCCTCATGAAAGTTGTGGTCGGCACCACTGACCTCTTGGCCGGTAATGGTAAAACTGTCAATGCTGCTCAATTCATTATCCATCCCCAGTACAATCCTCAAAGTCAGGACTACGATATGTCATTGATTAAATTGGCCGAACCTTTGACATTGGGAACCTCCACTGTGGATAAAGTGGAACTGGCTGCCTCTGATGCTAACTTTGCTGCCGACACCTTGGCCACCATTAGCGGATTTGGTGCCATTAATGGAAATCTCCAGCTGCCCAATAAATTGAAATTTGCCCAGGTTCAATTGTGGAGTCGTGACTATTGCAATCCTCAAAACATTCCTGGCATCACGGATCGTATGATTTGTGCCGGACATCCCAGTGGCCAAGTTAGTGCCTGCCAAGGTGATAGCGGTGGCCCATTGACTGTGGACAACAAACTGTTCGGTGTGGTATCATGGGGTTTCGGTTGTGGTGCTGAAGGCAAACCTGCCATGTACACTTATGTGGGTGCTTTACGCTCATGGATTAAACAAAATTCGGGAGTTTAGGGGAATGTGAATTCTCTGGAATGGAAACTTTTGGCGATTGTCTTGATTATTTTGAATATTTAAAAATTTTTATAATTAACTTTTCACATTTTTTAAATAAATATTTGTTTTGGCATTAATCGATGATGTTTTAATTAAGTACTGAAACGACGGTATTTGAAAAAATAGTTCTGGTCATGGTCGGGAAATCTAATCCGAATTTTGGTTGTTATAGGTGTTTATTCGAATCGTTCTATATCCCGATATCAATATTAAATATTGATATCTGGATATAACACCTAAATATAAAGCTCTTCTATATCTAGAAGAACTCCCAAGATGTTTTCTATATAAAAATAACATACCTAGAAGAGCTTCCAAGAAGTATTCTATATAAAAATAATATTTGGTGAGTTTTCCCGTCTAAAACTCAAGCTTCGACAAAGGGTCTCCACCCACAGAAGACCTTCATAAGAATACAGATTAAAAAGCCTTTAGAGAGGGATCGACTTACTTACTTAGCTGGCTCGAAACAGGACATTTGTTCCATAAGTCGAACTTAAAAAAGATTTTCAGGCGCGTCGATCTTGTGCGCAGTTTTTTCAATTTTCCATGCTTTGAGATGTCATCATCCACTTGATCTTTCCATCGAATTCATGGCCTTCCCCTTCTGCGCGAACCATCAGTAGGTTCGCTTTTAGATGCCTTTTGAGCTGGGGCATCCTCATCTATTCGCACAACATGGCCTAGCCACCGTAGTCACTGCAGCTCGATACGACTTCCTATGTCTATGTCCGTGTAGTTTATTCGGGGCTCATTCAACACCGATATTCACCGTCAACGAAGATCGGCCTGTAGAAGCTCTTCAATATCTAGAAGATGTATTCTATATAAAAATAATATTTTGTGGGTTCTCCCGTCTAAAACACAAGCTCCGACAAAGGGTATCCACCCACAGAAGACCTTCATAAGAATACGGATTAGAATGCCATTGGATAGATCTACTTATTTATATAGTTGGCTCGAAACAGAACATTTGTTCCATAAGTCGAACTTAAAAAAAATTCAGGCACTTCGATCTTGCGCTCAGTTTTTCCAATTTGAAACCATGCTTTGATCTTTCCACTTGATCTTTCCATCGAATTCATGGCCTTCCCTTTTTGCGTGAACCATCAGTAGGCTCGCTTTTATATGCCTTTTGAGCTGGGACATCATCATCTATTCGCACAACATCGCCTAGCCACCGTAGTCGCTGCAGCTCGATACGACTTACTATGTCTATGTCCTTGTATAGATGGTAAAGCTAGTGGTTCATTCAATGCCGATTTTCAACGTCGACGTAGATCGGCCCGTAGATCTTTCGGAGAATTTTTCTCTCAAACACTCCAAGAGTTGCCTCATGCTTATGATCCATACACCAGAACGGGTAGTATCAGTGTCTTGTATAGCATGAGTTTGATCTGACGAGTGGTGGCCTTATTTTTGAATTGATTACTCCAAAAATAGTAGCATCTGTTGGCCAGCACTATTCTTCTCCGAATTTCAAAACCGATGTCATTAGTTTTGTTTATGGCGGTACCAAGGTATATAATATCTATGACCACCTCAAAGCTGCAGTTCTCAAGTGCCACAGTTTGTCCGATTCTACTGGACGTCTTGCGCGTTGATACCATCAGCTTGGTCTTCTCTCCGTTTACTGCCAGACCCACTTTGGCAGACTCCTTTTCAATTTGTTCAAAGGTGGATGTTGCCGCTCGCAATGTTCGACCCATTATATCGATGTCATCGACGTAAGCGAGTAACATGTGTTGTTTGGTGTACAGAGTGCCATTTCTGTTCACCTTTGCGTCTCGTATGACCTTTTCCAGTAGGATGTTAAAAAGATCACACGACAAACTGTCACCTTGTCTGATCCTCGTTCGGTATTGAAGGGCTCCGATAGGCCCTTTCCTACTTTAACGGCTGACCTTGTGCCACTTGAAGTTATCATGCATAGCCGTATTAATTTTGCAGGAATGCCGAACGTAGACATGGCTTTAAACACCTCTGAACGGATAGGGCTGTCGAATGCGGCTTTATAGTCGACAAATAGGTGGTATGTGTCGATGTGCTTTTTGTGGGTCTTTTCCATGATTTGGCGCAGAGTGAAAATCTTTTCAATGGTGGATTTGCCAGGTCTGAAGCTGCATTGGTATGGTCCGATGATGTCATTGACCATTGGCTTCAATCGTTCACACAGCACACTGGATAGCACTTTATATGCAATGGGAAGGAGACTTATTCCTCTATAGTTGGCACATGTCTCCTTTTTTGTGCACGGGACACAGGATGCTGAGGTTCCGATCATTGGGCATGCATGAATCTAGCCAAATTGTGCTAATCAGCTGGTGCATGCTCCTCACCAGCATCTGGCCACCAGTCTTGAATAGTTCGGTCGGTAACCCATCGGTTCCTGCTGCTTTGTTGTTCTTGAGCCGATTAATTGCTTTTATGACCTCATCTTGGCTAGGTGGTATACACTCTATACCATCATCTCTTATTGGTTCTGGGGTATCTTCTTTATCGCCACTATTTGATACTAGAAGCTTTTCGAAATGCTCCTTCCAGGTCCTCAACACGCTGTCTGTATCTGTCATCAGGTTTCCTTCTTCATCTCTACAGGAGGATGTGCCTGCACAAAAGCCTTCGGTTTGGTGTTTTACTCGTTAGTAAAATTTCCGGACTTCATTCTGACTCCTGTACATCTCGATTTGCTCACGCTCACATTTTCCTGATTCCTTCTTCTTTTTTCTGAAAACACGTTTCTCCTCACTCCTTTTCTCCCCATAATTTTCCATCACATTACGTGTTGCTACTGTCTGCAGGGTTGCCCTATACGCTGCGTTTTTCACATCAGTAGCATTACGACACTCCTGATCGTAACATGGTTTTTGGTACCCAATTGTTCCTTTTGCTGCAGTTTGTAGGGAGTGAGCAATTATTTGCCATTGTGCTTCTATACTATTATCGGGACAAGAGGTGATTTCTTCAAGCAGATGGGTAAGTTGAGCGGAGTAGGCCTCGGCTACCTGTTGTGTTTGCAGCTTTTCGACGTCGAGTTTCCGTGTTGTATTAGATCGCACCTTTGCTGCAACATTAAGACGGGTGCGTACCTTGGCTGCCACAAGGTAATGGTCCGAATCGATATTCGCTCCTCGGATCGATCGGACGTCTAAAACACTGGATGAATGCCTTCCGTCTATCACAACATGATCGATTTGATTTCTCGTTGTTCGATCGGGAGAAATTCAAGTGGTCTTGTGTATATCGAGATGCTTGAATCTGGTGCTGCCAACTACCATGTTTTTGCTCTGCGAAGTCAAACAACCTCATGCCGTTGTCGGATGTTTCTTCATGAAGGCTGAATTTTCCGACGGTGGGGCCAAAAATATTTTCCCTTCCGATTTTTTTTTTTGCCTTAAAATCTTTTAGCAGAATTTTATTTGCATGGCCAGGTCAGCGGTCATATGCTGTTTCTAGGCGTTCGAAAAATGTGTCTTTGATCTGCTCATCTTTGTCTTGGATCTGATCATAGGCGCAAATAAGACTGATGTAGAAGAACTTCGCTTTTATACGGATTTTAGCAATTCGCTCATCTACTGCAGTGTATCTGGAGACGAGGTCTCCTGTTAACTATAAATCGGCAGCCAAATTCATGTCTCGTTTCATGGCAGCTGTAATACAGGGCGTAATCATGTGATTTACTTACGCCACTCTCTTTCCATCGCATTTCCTGTAAGGCAATAATATCGACATTGTACTTCTTGAGTATATCCACCAAAGCGAAAACTGCACCGATTCTGTACAACGTGCGCACATTGCAAGTGTAGAATCGCACATCGTGGTCCTCTATACGTTTGCGGGAGTTCGAAGTAGGTGGGGTTTTCCGACTGTGGGTTCTTATGAGTGAACTCGCGGCACATATCAGTTCACTATTTCAACGGGTAATGAAACTAGATACCCCAGGAGATACAGTGGGGAGCTCAGGGTCCACAAATGACAACAATTGTCATGTTAAAGTCATAAGAGCCGTTGCTTGGTATCTATCATACGCTACGTCACCCATATAATAATACACGCCTATCGATCTTTAAAAAAATCTACGCCTATCGATCTTTAAAAAAATCTGCGACTATCGATCTTTAAAAAAATCTACACCTATCGATCTTTAAAAAAATCTACGCCTATCGATCTCAAAAAAAATCTACGCCTATCGATCTTTAAAAAAATCTACGCTTATCGATCTGTAAAAAAATCTACGCCTATCGATTTTTTAAAAAAAAATCTACGCCTATCGATCTTTAAAAAAATCTACGCCTATCGATCTTTAAAAAATCTGCGTCTATCGATTTTTAAAAAAATCTACGCCTATCGATCTTTAATAAAATCTACGCCTATCGATCTTTAAACAAATCTACGTCTATCGATCTTTAAAAAAATCTACGCCTATCGGTCTTTAAAAAAATCTACGCCTATCGATCTTTAAAAAAATCTACGCCTATCGATTTTTTAAAAAAAAATCTACGCCTATCGATCTTTAAAAAAATCTACGCCTATCGATTTTTTAAAAAAATTCTACGCCTATCGATCTTTAAAAAAATTTACGCCTATCGATCTTTAAAAAAATCTACGCCTATCGATCTATAAAAAATCTACGCCTATCGATCTTTAAAAAAATCTACGCCTATCGATCTTTAAAAAAATCTACGCCTATCGATTTTTTAAAAAAATTCTACGCCTATCGATCTTTAAAAAAATTTACGCCTATCGATCTTTAAAAAAATCTACGCCTATCGATCTATAAAAAATCTACGCCTATCGATCTTTAAAAAAATCTACGCCTATCGATCTTTAAAAAAATCTACGACTATCGATCTTTAAAAAAATCTACGCCTATCGATCTTTAAAAAAATCTACGCCTATCGATCTTTAAAAAAAAACTACGCCTATCGATCTTTAAAAAAAACTACTCCTATCGATCTTTAAAAAATCTTCGCCTATCGATCTTACAAAAAATCTACGCCTATCGATCTTTAAAAAAAAACTACGCCTATCGATCTTTAAAAAATCTTCGCCTATCGATCTTACAAAAAATCTACGCCTATCGATCTTTAAACAAATCTACGGCTATCGATCTTTAAAAAAATCTACGCCTATCGGTCTTTAAAAAAATCTACGCCTATCGATCTTTAAAAAAATCTACGCCTATCGATCTTTAAAAAAATCTACGCCTATCGATCTTTAAAAAAAACGCCTATCGATCTTTAAAAAAATCTACGCCTATCGATCTTTAAAAAAATCTACGCCTATCGATCTTTAAAAAATCTACGCCTATCGATCTTTAAAAAAATCTACGCCTATCGATTTTTTAAAAAAATCTACGCCTATCGGTTTTTAAAAAAAAATCTACGCCTATCGATCTTTAAAAAAATCTACGCCTATCGATCTTTAAAAAAATATACGTCTATCGGTCTATTAAAAAAATCTACGCCTATCGATCTTTAAAAAAATCTACGCCTATCGATCTTTAAAAAAATCTACGCCTATCGATCTTTAAAAAAACCTTCGCCTATCGGTCTATTAAAAATCTAAGCCTATCGATCTGTAAAAAAATCTACGCCTGTCGATCTGTTAAAAAATATTCCTTTAAAAAGTCCACGCCTATTTTTCGGACTACTGGGCTCTTAAAAAATAGCGTTTCGATAATAGGGGACAAAATATTTTTTTTTTTTTTTAATTTAACATATCCTATACTCCGTCTTGATTTTTTTTATAAAATACATCTCAAGGCGTCTCTATATAAAAACCCTCTACTCTATGATAACCCACTCAAAAATCTACATCTCCTAACGACCTCTCACCAAAGAGGTTTTATCTGTAGCATTATATCTCTGTTAAATTTTATCCACCCTAATGCAGATATTATCCACATTATATCCAACACTGCAACATGACAAATATTTGCCCTCTCCTTTGTTGACCGCTTTTGCATTCCAGTCAATCTCAGCCGGTATTGGATATAGCTAACGGCCTAGTTTAGCCAACCTTCTGCTTCTGCAGCCAGACATCAGATATGACAGCTTATCAGCATTTTTTGTTACTGTTTGGCATAAAACGTGCTAACAAGTCATCGTCAGTCAGCCAGTTAGTCAGACCATCATAACAACATGTCTAATAACAGAAACAGAAAATGAAAACAACAGCGAAGAAGAACCGAATAAACAACTTGCACTCAACACCCATTAGCACGATTTTGTCTCGTGTTCTGATTTATCGGAGAAAACAAATCAATTAAAAAATAGAATAAAAAAATAAAAATCGTTTAATGGGATTTCCATGAGGACAGGTATAATGATGATGATAAGACTTTTGTTACGCCCCCTTAGCCGCAAGGGGCCCAACCGAGAATGAAAAATATTCTTTTAAAAAATCCACGCCTTAGTTCTAATAGGAAAATTTTTCTTTTAAAAAATCCACGCCTTAGTTCTAATAGGAAAATTTTTCTTTTAAAAAATCCACGCCTTAGTTCTAATAGGAAAAATATTCTAATAGGAAAAATATTCTTTTAAAAAATCCACGCCTTAGTTCTAATAGGAAAAATATTCTTTTAAAAAATCCACGCCTTAGTTCTAATAGGAAAAATGTTCTTTTAAAAAATCCACGCCTTAGTTCTAATAGGAAAAATTTTCTTTTAAAAAATCCACGCCTTACTTCTAATTGGAAAAATATTCTTTTAAAAAATCCACGCCTTAGTTCTAATAGGAAAAATATTCTTTTAAAAAATCACACCATAGTTCTAATAGGAAAAATATTCGTTTAAAAAATCCACGCCTTAGATCTAATAGGAAAAATATTCGTTTAAAAAATCCACGCCTTAGTTCTAATAGGAAAAATATTCTTTTAAAAAATCCACGCCTTAGTTCTAATAGGAAAAATATTCTTTTAAAAAATCCACGCCTTAGTTCTAATAGGAAAAATATTCTTTTAAAAAATCCACGCCTTACCCGTTCATAGGAAAAAATTCTTTTAAAAAAACGCCTTAGTTCTAATAGGAAAAGTTTTCTTTTAAAAAATCCACGCCTTAGTTCTAATAGGTATTGTCCAGCTACAACCGGCAAATATGGCGCCGGTGGTCAACTGTGAACTGTGGCACCATCTATTGTGGCGCCCAACGATGCCGACTCGAAGAAGGATGGAAATAGAGGTGAGAATGAATTGGTATTGAAATATGGCCAACCATTCCGTTTGCAGTGTGTAGATGATCCAACGGGTAAGGATCCCTTGATGTTATACACAGCTCCAAAATCATGGGATCTGACATCGATTATACCGAACTCTTTTGATACGCGGAAATATGGAGAAATTAATTTGACGTTGGGTTTGTGTTCCAGAAAGGTAAACATGGAGCAGAAAATAACCCCCTTCCTCCTCCCCTTCACCCTACTTATTTTTATTGTTATAACCTTAGAATTGTGGACCTGGTAAACAAATTCCGGCTGCCTATACCCATTGGTATTGTCAGCATATTGATCCGCATAAACGATTCGAGACGGAGGGGACACCATTGCCGGTAAGAAAATTAAGTGAACTCCCACCATCTCTCATTCCCCCTTCTCCCTCCATTATAGAGCAATGAACCTTTGGTCATAACCCACATGGCAACCAATCGTAATCTGGCTGCCGAAAATACTGTCATACAAACTCTATTCGGTCCGGAATTTTTAGTTTCCGTACAAAATTATCGAAATATTTTCAAACGTGAGACCTGGCAAAATTTATGGATAATCAGCAATGGTCATCAGTGTAAATAAATTTGCCAGAAAAATCCCCATATTTCGATTCTGTCACGTGATTATACAACATCGGCCAACCACTAACGCGATGGATAATAAATTTTCGAATTAAAAACACATTTCATCTATAATTCCATTAAAATTACAATCTAAATGTTTATTGACATTTTTTTCTTTCTTGATAATTCGCCGTAAAAATAGCTGGACCATAAACTTCGCAAATCACGCACAAATCAGCCGATTATGGAACGTGATATCAGTTTTTTTGCTATGCCTGAAATAGGTTCGACACGTGAAAGCTGTATTTGTCGGTCGGTCGACCATTAAATGGCAACAAATGCCAGTTATAACGCTTAGTGGTTTATGGAGGCAGATAAGAGAATCTGAAATGAAAATAACTTCGAGGTGTTCGAGAGGTTTGAGATATTATAATTAGGTTGCACAACGCAGCATGTCTGGCAAAACAACAAATGATGATAAACATAACTTTGTTTTCAAAAATATGTGGATTTTTCTTAACGAATATTTTTCGAAGACAATTCGACGCCTCCGAACCATAGTATGCTAAGTCTGAAAAGTGCGTTTTTCAGTAGAAGCTCTCAAAGTATGAACGTTTCTTATATCTTACGTGCCATGCTAAGTACATTTTTGCTTATAACTTTGGTTTGGATTGGCCGATGATTGCCAAAATTTCAGAGAACTTAAATTAAGGACCGTAGTATCTAAAAACGTAAAGAACTTTAAAACATGCTAAGTCGACTTAGCATACTATGGTTCGGAGGCGTCGAATTAAGGCGTGAATTTTTTAAAAGAATATTTTTCCGAATTTTCAAAATTTGTACCGTTGTTGTTTTTTGTCGGGGCAATAAATTAATAGCAGCCGAGACCAACATCAGCGCCATTTTGATTCCAAAAAAAACACACTTTTGAACGGCTGCGTTTTTGTGAAGTCATTTTGCGGTTGGAAACCCCTTTCATATGTGTGGGTGTTATTTTTCGCAACAAAGTATAGCGCGGGAACGGGAACCATCAGTAGGCTCATTTTTATATGCCTTTTGAGCTGGGGCATTTTCATTCATCCGCACAACATGGCCTAGCCACCGTAGTCGCTGCAGCTCAATACGACTGACTATGTCGATGACCGCGAATAAATTGTAAAGCTCATGGTTCGCGAATAAATTATAAAGCTCATGGTTCATTCGACGCCGATATTCACCGTCGACGCAGATCGGCCCGTAGATCTTTCGGAGAAATTTTCTCAGCGTCTTGTAAAGTGTGAGTTTGGTCTGGCGGGAAGTTGCCTTGTTTCTAAACTGCTTACTTAGAGCATAGTAGCATCTGTTGGCCATCACAATCCTTCTCCGAATTTCAAAACTGATTTCATTTGTTTTATTTATGGCGGTACCAAGGTATATAAAGTCTTTAACTACCTCGAAGCTGTAGTTCTCAAGTTCCACAGTTGGTCCGAGTCTACTGGACGTCTTGCGCGTTGATACCACCAACTTGATACTGCCAGACCCACTTTGGGTCTGGCAATTCGTTCAAAGGTGTCTATTACCGCTCGCAATGTTCGACTAATTATCAATGTTGTCGGCATTTCTGTTGATAGAGTGTCATTTCTGTTCACCTTTGCATCTCGTATGACCTTTTCCAGCAGGATGTTGAACAGGTCACACGACAAACTGTCACCTTGTCTGAATCCTCGCTCGGTATTAAAGGGCTCCGAGATGTCATTTCCGAATTTAACTTCTAACCTTGTGCTAGTTAAAGTTACACTGCATAGCCGTATTAATTTTGCAGGAATGCCGAACCCCGACATGGCTTTAAACACCTCTGAACGGATAGGGCTCTCGAATGCGGTTTTATAGTCGACGAACAGGTGGAATGTGTCGATGTGTTTTTCATGGGGTTTTTTTCCAGGATCTGGCGCAGAGTGAAAATCTGGTCAATGGTAGATTTGCCAGGCCTGAAGCCGCATTGGTATGGTCCGATGATGTCATTGACCATTGGCTTCAATCGTTCACACAGCACACTGGATAGCACTTTATATGCGATTTTAGATATTGAAGATATTAAGTCAGCATCACAGATTTTCCAAGGGCTTGGTCACCTTCTAGTACACGATCTATGAATTCTTCCGATTTGGAGTTCCCTAGGTAGTCACGTGCATAATTCTTCACGACCTTTCGGTGTTTCTTAATTTTGTTGAGGTCTTGGTCGATATATCTCTGATAATAGCAGATTTTTCTCTGATATACTGGAAGACAGTGCCTATTTTGACCTAGCAATTTTGAGTACTTTTTATACCCTCAGCACACTGTGTTACAGGGCATTATGTCTTTGGGCATATGTTTGTAACAGGCAAAAGGAAACGAGATAGACACATGGTTCCTTTTGTGAATATGCATGTCTGTCCGTCCGTCCGTCTGTCTATGTATTCTTGTTAACCAAGTACAGGTCGCATTTATGATCCGATTTGGATGAAATTTGGCACAGTTCACTTATTTATCCCAAGGACGAACCCTATTGAAATTGGAGAAAATCGGTTCAGATTTAGATATAGCTCCCATATATAGTTTCGTTATAGCTCCCATATATAGTTTCGTCCGATTGATACACCAAACTCCCAAAAGTTGTCAGATTGGCACAAAATTTTGCACAGAGTTCTGAATTAGGTTTAGACTGATGTCTGCGAAGTTTTGTTAAAATCGGTTCAGATTTAGATATAGCTTCCATATATAGTTTCGTCCGATTTTATGGTGAATGATACACCAAACTCCCAAAATTTGTCCGATTGACACAAAATTTTGCAAAGAGTTCTGAATTAGGTCCAGAGTAATGTATGCGAAGTTTTGTTGAAATCGGTTCAGATAGAATCTGCCAA